CTGGAGAATGGGTGCTCCTGGCATAGAAGCATCTGCTGCTGACAACTGACTAAAGTAAACTTGTCTTCTTTGGTCAGTGTCACTGTAATGTGACAGTTTCCTCTGATCTCAGGCACAGTCCTTATGCCAGCGGCAGCTGCCATGCCAACTGCCTGGCAGCCCTGCGGTTGTGCCAGTGAACAGGACGATGTTGCTGGGGGGCCAGGCAGATGGAGGGGGCTCAGGGTGACCTACATGAAATAGAAGGATCAGGAGGAGTTAGTCTATCTACCTCTGTGAGGATTATGGGTGCCGGGTAAAGACTGCAAACCATGTCCAGCGAAAAACTAGAAATGGGTGCCCTGGACCTCCCTGGAGGCTGGCCAGGTCCTGGACCTGCAAATCTAAAAATAGGAGTTTAAAAATAGTGACAAGTGACCCACAGACATTTTGAGCAAGAGCTGCTAACAGACAGCCCAGGGCTACAAGCTGCTTTGTTTTGCCAGTGTGTTTTCTGGGGTTTTGTTTCTTAGGGCAGTATTTACAGGCTAGAGAATTCACCAGGTAGAGAATGAGTCTGTGTATTCCCCTGAAATGTCCTGTTTTAGTTCAAAACAGTCTCCACCTGCAGTATCTGGTGCCAGGCAAGATTGTGGAAAACATTTTAAGCTCTGACAAAACATTAAGTAAATGCAGAAAAAAATTTTTTTGAAAAGCTCTAAAATTGCTGGTAATGAGTTGGTGCAAAGAACAGAACTGCTTACAGCAGCCCGAGGGGGAAAGTATAAAACTGAAACTGGGTGGTATTAGATGGAATTGTTTTTTTCACTTTCTGTTCCTTCTCAAAACTGCCAGAAGTACATTTGGTACCAGGATAAGGAATTCCTGTTCCTCATTGCTGTTCTCACACATCAGGCATTTGTGGAGGGATGTTAGACTCCCCGCCACCACCCCCCAGTCCCTGGAGCAGTGGCTGTGCCAACACTCAGAGTCTCCACTGCCCGGCCCTCTGCTACCCCAATCATTTAACTCTTTCCTGTGTTAGTTCTGTCCTTTGTGTGGCACTGAGAATACAGGGACAGAAGACCAGACATGATGGCTGGATTGATGGTTTTGTTTGGCCGGGATGAGCAACTTAGACATTTAAGCACATTCTTCCTAGGAAAGAGACCAAGATCTCATAACAAACATATTTTTCCGCCTTGCATTTCTCCTTCCCAGTTGCCAAGAGCCACATCTTTGAAGAAAAAAAAATTCACTATCTTCCAAGTTTAAATTTGCTGCTTGTTCATATTCTCTAAGAACTCCATAACCAGCTATTTTCACAATGATTTTGTTATTTTTAGTTGTTAAAATCATTAGATTGACAAAGTACAGTCCTCCCTTCCCCCACAATGGTCCGGGCAGCAAGCAAACCAGGCCTTTTCTCTTGAACATCATCTTCTATTTATGCATGGCCTACTTTCAGCCTGCACTCCCCCTTAACCCCATAGTAATTTGTCAAGCTCAGGCTAATCTCCTTAATCCATTGGGCTGAAGGATTTAAGTTTAATGTTTTAATCTAGGGGCCCTAGTATTTAAGTAATTAGAGGTCGTATTTCTAGCACTCTCCTTTAGATAAATTACCTTAGTTTGCTCTTTAATTCTAATTTATAAATAACAGAATTCTAAGAATTCGAAGTGGGCATAATTTGGAGTTTTGGACTGAATGCCTGAATTAAGAGCATTCTGTGATACTTATGTTTCTTGCCTTCACTCTTAAAGAGTCTCAAGCCTGGGAATTTTCCTTAGAGTTCACTTTTATTTATTACTACTTTAATTATCCATTTGTATAGGATAAGGATATGATGTACTAATTCAAAACCTACAATACATCTGAGTAATATCAAATCAGTAGTTAGTAGTTCCATTTCCTCCTCTAATGTTTAAAAATTTGATTAACATGTAGTAACTGCATATTTGTGACATGGTATGACACATCAATCCATGTTTACAGTGTGTACTAGTCAGATATGGTGATTCATTTTTGCTTATTTATTTCATGTTTGGAGGTTGTGATTAGAATAGACTTTTAACATACTAACTAAAAATACTTGCTGCTGTATTTTAGAAGCACTTTGCTGTTTTCCTGAATCCTGTTGTATACTTGGAATTCCTTAAGTCATTTCCCACATTTTTTCATTCATGCCCGAGAACTTGTGAGCTTGGAAAGAAATATTTTCCTATCAGTTAATCTGAACATTCTTACAGAATGTTTCAAACATCTTTCCTGTCAAAACAATTTAGTCACAGGAGTCTAGTTTTACACTCTATGTTTCAGATTTTCAGTCAGCAAACACTGCATACCCTGAATTTATTACAGCATGGCATAAAAGTAAAAAACTAGACACTTCGAAAAATATTGTCCTAATTAGGACAAGGTCATCCCTTGGCATGTGTGGTCAGTGTGGTGGCCTCTGATGCCTCATGTCTACCCACTCATGTCGTCTCACAGATCTGCGCCTGGTGTCTCACCACCACCACCCTGTTGTTCAGAGGCTAAAGGGACGGCTGGACAGGCCTCCTGGGCCTTCTCTGGTGTGGGAGCCCAGACCCAGAATTCTCACCACTGGGTACAGACTATGTTGCTTCTACATCAAAAAGCTCACAGAGCTCTGCCTGCCTCTCTGCTTCCTGAGTGATGACCAACGTTGGGTGCCACTGCATCAGGCCCTGCCATCTCTCTTTCAAGAGTGGAATATTGAAGCACCTTAGGTATTAGTGAAAAGTAATTTCCAGGCTACAGATTCTAATAGAAAAAAAAATCGAAAGAAAGTAAGACGAAGTGATAGGTCTTGTGGTGATAGCCAGCTAGTTACCTTCGCTCCAGGACACTGAGGGAGAGGCACAGCCGTGGGGAGCAGGTCAGGGAGATGAGCATGCAGGGCCAAATGGGACTACAGAAATTCATTACTCACTTATTGGGGAATTGACAAGAGAACAGTACTCACTAATAAAATTGGCTTGTACTGGATAATGTCCTGAATTTCTGTGAGACCCTGAACAAAGATTTTTAGCCGTACTGAGAGTCAGTTTACTCATCTGAAAACCTAAGAAGTTTTTGAGAAACACTCCGAGCACACACTCAGACGTAACATCCACGAGATGGGGTGTGACTGGTTAAGACTGAGAGTTGACCTTAAGAAAAGGGAGAGAGCCGATGGCACATGGGTAGAGGTGCCTGCTGCCCAGAGGAACAGACAAACTGACCCCAGAACGCACATGCTGGAGAGAACAACACCGGCAAGTTACCCTCTAGATGCCCTATTCAAATAGGTAATTGTAAAGGCCGAACTGAAAGAACAAGGTAGTGTTAAAGCCAGACTGAAAGCAGGGTCTTCCTTCTTCTGCCAACACAGGACGGTATGTGCAGAAATCTTCACAAGCTGAACTCCCGGGTCCAGCAAGCTTCACCGTCTGATCAGCTCCCCCTCAGCCCTCAGGCATGTGCTATTTTTTCAACGTTCTCAAATGCACTCGATGTTTGGGAACTGAGTCAAGAACCCAACATGATTCTTCAAAACCCGAAGCTGACGCCTAAGGGAGAAGGCTTCTCCTCTTAGGTGCCAGAAGGAGCCTTTAGACCTCCCAGCTAAGGGGCCCAAAAACAGGTTGGTGGTGGTAACCTTTAATCCCAGAGGCAAAAGCAGGTGGGTCTCTGAGTTCGAGGCCACCCTGGTCTACAGAGTGAGTTCCCTCCAAGACAGCCAGGACTACACAGAGAAACCTCATCTTAAAAAAACCAAAGGGGGTCGGGGGAAGACAAAGTCTCACTATGTAGACCAGAGTGACCTGAAACTCAGAGATCTACCTGTCTCTGCCGCATAGGATTGACTGTGTGAGCCCACAGTGCCTGGCTTCCCTCCTGGCTTTTCAAGCTTTACAAAGGGGATTTAGGGAAACAGGTTAGCATCTTTAGTGCTTACAGGGAGCAGATCTTATTTTTAAAAATTACAAGTGACAGTATTTTGGTTACTTTGAAACACCATCCTTAGGAGAGCAACATTCTGTATATTTGTGACACCATTCTCAAAGGCAGGCAAAGTATACCCACTATAGTTGTTTTTAAGAAGTAAATAAAAAAATAAATACTTTATAACAGATCTCCAGGTGCTATACACCTTTAATGTTAGCACTTGGGAGGCAGTGGCAGGCAGATCTCTGGGTTTGAGATTAGCAAAGGCTAAGAGAGAGACCCTGCCTCAAAAAACACAAAAGAAGCTATAAAATAAATTTTAAGTTGAAAAGCTCCTTAAAATTTACAGGGACCAAATCCTTTAAAAAAAAAAAAAGGAAATATCTGGGGACTAGCAAGAGGGCACTTGGCAGCAAAGCAAATGTTCAGTGCCTGAGACCCACATGGTGCAGACAAGGGCCCCAACTATCACAGGTGTCCAGGCACACTCACATACTCGACATAGTCAATAAAAGTGGCTAATTTTTTGAAGCATGAAGCCATTCCCTTCAACATCTTAATACTCTGATTTTACTTGCCTTAGGAAACATTGACAGAGACCAAGGAAGTATTAATCCCAATTTTTGCACTTTTGTGCTCAAAACTCTCTGGTATCAGAAATGTTACACATTTTGATGGGTCGCGGGACACACAGAGGTACACGCTAATCCTCCTCAGGGTCTCCATGCTTTGCCATGTGACTCAGTGAGGGGTCTTTAAATCAGTCTGCAAAAACTGCAAGTTGAACAAGTCATCCTGCTGCAGCATTGAGGAGCTGAGGCAGGAGGATCTCAGGCCTGAACAACGAGAAGAGTGTCTTCAAAATGAGAAGGTCTGGATTCCAGCATCTGCTGTTAATCGTGTGAGATTTGAGTTCTTTGTGGACTGATAAGATCCTAAAGCCAAAGGAATGTCCCATGGCCCCACCCAGGAGCCAGACTCAACTCCCTCCTCCCTCCTCCCAAGCCCCAGAGGCCTGCGTCTCAAAGCTCCTGTAACTGGAAAGATCCCAAGAGATTCCACTCACCTCCACTTCCTGCGAAGGCATCCTCAGTCTGGTGAGCTTGGCCTTAGCAGGCACTTTTACATCGGGTTTCTCGAAGCTCTGCTGGCCATAGTCCTCCAACGGCGGCTTCAGCTCGGGGGACTCACTAGGAGCCTGATCCTGACCGTCCATGGGCCGGACATACGCTGTGGGCTTCTGCTGCATTGCAACACTTTTTGAGGGGAGAGGAGGGGGTGGAAATGTCTGAGAAGGGGCTACCCCAAGGCTGGTAGCTGCCACCAAACTGTCATGAGGAGTCTCATTATCTTGGACCTTCGCCACCAGGTCCTTGGAAGACATGGCTGCGCTGTAGCTTTTATTGCTAGTGCTACAGCTGGGCGCCTTGCTGCCTCCCTGCAGCCTGGAATGTACAGGTGACAGAGGGGGCACTGGGGACGGCAAAGAGGAGATTAAGGGCGAGAGCTTCATCTCCGGAGCTGAGTCACCATCAGCTCTGTGGTCACACTTTCTGTGGTTGGAACAGTGCCCCTCCTGGCTGAGGCGATCTTGAGTCAGACGCTGGCTGTCGGGCGGGCCATAGTTTTTGGCATGGAGACTTGGCGCTGGTTCCATCCTTGGCGGTGCCATCTTTGGACTGTGGCTAATGTTCCCAACAGAAAGTGGTCCAGGGGCTGAAGAAGTATGAATAGGCTGGTGGTAGACGTGGGTGCGGAAGGAGTTGGACGGGATGCTGCTCCCCCTGTCATGAAATAAAGGATGTCTCGACTTCCCCGGCCTATCTTCGGAACCATCCAGGCGCTGAGGGCAAGATTTGGTACTCAAGAACTCCTTCATCTCTTCGTAGTCACCTAGCATGTTCTGTATCCGACTTGACAGCTCATCGCCTTTTGCAGTCTGAGAAACAGAAAGATGGCAGACTCAGACTGCGGAAACACATCTAAGCAGAGCAATCGCTTAATAAATGATTATGTAATATCGTTAAGAGAAAACCCTCTCCGCTTCATGTGTAATGCAATGTTAACTATTTCCCCCCACTGAGAAGCCTGCCACAGATACACATTACTAATTACAGGAGACTAACATTACAAAAGAAAACCATACACTTTGGTAATTCTGACTAACAATGTTCAAAGAGTTTTCAGATTTTGTTTTCAAAAACAACCTCTGGGATAAGTTGTTTCCTTGGTGGTGACCCCTGGTTGAACTCAGTTACAATGAGTAACTCTTCCATCAAGTTTAGCATTGTGACGGGCCAGCCCTGCTCCCTCTCACACAGTAAATACCTTGTAGGGCTCTCCAAAGAGTGGGGCCGTCTCAGCAAACACCTCTTTCCCTGCATGAGTTTCTTGGTTGCGTCTTTCCTTCTCTCTAATCCGAAGGAGGTTTCTGTCTTCATTGTACAAGCTTTTCCAAGTGCCACAAAAGAACAGGAAAAAAAAATCTATCAGCATCCAAGTTTTGTTGTGCACACACGGGTGTAGAAGGAGCAAGAATATTCATGATGGGGTGATGGGATGTAACTATAGAACGTGCACACGGGGTTGCAGAAACGGCACAGCAGTTAGGAGTGCATACTGCTCTTGCGTGGGACCCAAGTTTCATTCCCAGCTCATAGTTCACAGCTCCAAAAGAAATCTAGCGCCTCTTCTGGCCTCTGTGGATACCTTCTGGTGCCCATGTACTCACACACGCATGCATGCATGCATACACACACACTTCAAAATAAAAAAGGAGGGGGTAGGGTAGGAGGGAGGAGAAGGGCATGAGTCCTACTGTGCCAATGGTTCACACCAGTAATCCCGCTACTGAGGAGGATTGCTACAAGTTCAAGACCATCCTTGTCTACAGAGAAAATTCAAAGACAAAGGCTGATTTTCTAATTAAAAGATCACCAAATGCCCAAAACTTATCATTTATTTTTTCCTCAGTCTATTCTGAGGGTGTCTTAGCATATAAACACAGAAAGATGATCTATAATTACTTCAAATGTCAAGGACGAACAACCCAATTATAGATGTCAGTTCTACATACAGTTGGATGTCACAACGTCCAATTTGAACTGCATTTTAAAAAGTATCCTACATCATTGGACGTGGTATCAAACTGGCTAAAATGAACTTGCTGACAGGCAAATCGGAGACGAATTCTGAAAGCAAGTTGATTTCAACTACAAACGCTCCCCCAAACAGGCCTGCTTCACTGCCAGGAACACAGCCTGCACCCTCCAGGCCCTCCTCTGTGATCTGCACTGAGTAATGGGAATAAAGAGCTATAATAAGACTGTCTTCTTGACCTGCTTCCAGGATCTGTCATGGGTGTCCCTCCCAGTGCTATCTGAACAAAGGAAAATGCTGATTACCTTGGCCATGCCTACCTATCCTTCCCGGTTCCAGCTGAAGCCAAAGGCCCCCCTCTTCCTTCCATTCCTCTCACAGGAGCCTCTTGGTCTCTGTGCCTCCCCAGCTTCCTTTAATGACTGGGTTTAAGGATCCAAGTTCATACCTGACTCTCAGATCACTGTCTATATCAATCGCTTGGTGGCTCCTGATACTACAGAATAGCCTCTACATCTGTGCTTTGTATTAGAATTCCCTGACAATCTGGTTTCAATGAATGCGTGACAGGATCCCATGGCTGCCCCACAGGCCTGTCACATGCACTCTACTTGGCCGTCCCCCCCCCACACACACTGCCCAAGTACACCTTGTAAGAGCCAGCCCCTTCCACTCAGATCCCTCTGCTGAAAGGTAACCATGCTTCCAGGGCTGATGTCTGTACAGGAACACTCACTCTACAAACCACCCCATACTCCAGTCTCAGCAGTCATGGTGTGACCTGGGAGTTGATTTACTTCCATTCCAATCACAAAGCTCTGCCTCTCTCTCTACCTTCTGTGCCTCCCCCCACTTTGACCACATACCCTCACCCCTAACTTTCCATTTCTGATAGATTCAGCTATTCAAATGTCACCCGCTTTAAAGACGCCCCTCAAATCCACCAACTATGTACCTGCTCAACACCCTCTGGCCTCGGTGAGCTCCTACACTCATGTGGTACGCATTAATTCATGTGACCTCTTACATGTAACATAAAATACAAGAATCTTTAAGACCAACTTCAAAGATGACAAATGTGAACTCAAGTGGCAGAGATCACTGTATGCTAGTTGGAAAACTAAAACACGGGAGAAATGAAAATATAAAGTCCATTCTTCCCTAGTAAGAATGGGACTGTTCCTGGCTGGCAGAACTGTGTTTTGGGATGGGGAGATGAAGAGGTGGGGTCTCTCTAAGCAGCCTTCACTGGCCATGCCTGCAACCTTCTAGCCTTCTCACAGTCTTGGCAACAGCAAGGCTCCCTCCCCGCCTTTGTTTTGGTTTGTTTTTGAGACAGGGTCTCTCCGACACCCTCTCCTCCGCCCCTGCCTCCGTAGTGCAGAGATTAAAGGTATAAGCCTGGCTAGACCCATATATTATAAGGCAATACCAAAGACTTTGGATGGATGAATTTAACTCGCTGTCACTGTTCAGCTGACACATCTACAAGTAGTGATGTGAGTAGATATATACCCATGACTGTCTGTCGGGTGGACCCAAGTCCAGACTGGAAGACTCACCCACACTGTCTGTGGTTGCTTTCGCCAAGGCTCCTGGACAAGGCAGAGGGCCAAGGAACCAGGTCACAGAGGTGTTCAGGGAGGCTGGGGACCCGTTCTGGGCCAACGTTTTTCTTTATGCCACTTAAACAGCGTTTGCCAATTCCACCAGGCAGGCTTCTGGTTTACTTCAGTACTGAGTTGCTTTTGAAAGGGCCTGGGCAATATTTTCTTTTCCAGAAATATTCTTTTCATAGTCCCTTTGAAATCAGGGGCAAGGTGAATTTCAAAACAAAGTAATGCCATCACCCATATCATGACAAGGACCCTCACAGACAGTTTCAAACTAAGTGCAGAGCAAGGTGGGGAAAGACGGGAGGATTGTTATGTGCACAGACAGATATGTATGTGTGCAGTGTGGGGGGGCATACACATAACAGCACGCATGCGGGGCAGAGACAGCTCTGGAGAGTTCGTTCATTCCACCTTCAAGAGAGTTCCAGGAATTAAACAAACTCAAGATTTCACTGGCAGTGCTGCCACTGGGTATTACCCTTTCTTATTGTTATTATAGCCATTGGTATGTGTCTGCCCATGCATACACACATGTGGGGACATGGCTACTACGGCACATGTGATGATCACAGGACTACACTATGCCATTGTTTCTCTCCTTCCACTTTTTTGTGGGTTCTAAGACTTGAGCTCAGGTTGCCAGGCTTGCTCAGCAATCACTCTACCATGGAGCCATTTCTCAGCCAGGAAGAAAGGGTGTGTGTGTGTGTGTGTGTGTGTGTGTGTGTGTGTGTGTGTGTGTGTGTGTGTGTGTGTGTGTGTGTGTGTATGTGTGTGTGTGTGTATGTATGTAAGCATGCATGCATGTGTGTATGTATTATGCATGTGTGCATTACATGTATTATTTGTGTGTGTTAGGTATGCATTATATATGCATATGTGTATGTGTGTATTGTATATGTATTATGTATGTATTACCTGTGTATGCACGTGTGTATTATATGTACATGTGTTGGGTATGTATGCGTATGTATGTATATATGTATGTATTTTTTTTCTTGACCTGGCTTTCTGTGTACAGCCCAGGCTGTCCTGGAACTCACTCTGTAGACCAGGTTGGCCTCAAACTCACAGAAATCTGCCTGCCTCTGCCTCCTGAGTGCTGGGATCAAAGGCATGCACCACTACCGCCCTGCACAGTCTGGAAGAATTTTTAAATGAGGGGATTTTTCAGGCAACAGTGAAGGTTTTCGTGATTCTCACTCTGTAATTACCTTTGAATAATTACAAGTTAACTATGGCTTTAATTAAAGGCCATCACCTCCTCCCAGGAGAAGCCACACACCATTTTCACTCTGGGTAACATCACACTGATACCCAAACAGCCACAAGTCAGAGACCCTTGCTTGCTAATGGCCACAGCACTGTGCATTCGGAGGGTAAAGGCATCTACAGGAGCAGATTACAGAGTCGGAGGGTAAAGGCATTTACAGGAGCAGATTACAGAGGCCACAGCTCTTCAGGTGAGAGGAAGGGTCTGGAAGGAAGCTGAGAAGAGTGGATCTGAGGGCTGATGAGAACAACAGTGGTAAGGACAGCAGCTGTGGCAGGGACAGGCGCCACCGTGCTGGGCCTCAGTCAGCACTGTCCTGGCCACATTACCTTGTTTTCCTTCCTATTTAGTCTTCAGTCAGACCTGTCATAATAGGATTTTTTAGGAGACCCATTTTTCAAGTGGAAAAACATAAGGCTCAAAGATTGACTTACTCATGACGCCCTGGAAATCCAAAAGCTTATGTTCTCAGCCTCAGATCTGCTAGCAAACCCGCCTGGCTGTGTTAAACAGGGTGCTGACGATGAAGGAGGCGTGCTAACTTATAATCACCTTAATTCCTTAGTTTCACAGAGGTACACGTCAGCCCAGCCATTATCCCTGCCGGGAGAACAACCTCAAAAACCACAGAATACATGACCAGTTCAACCAATTGCACAAAGACCTTACAGGAAGTGTCAGAAAGAGAGGCGAACCGAGTACAGGTGCTCCTCGTGTTCTAAAAACTAAGCTACAATCCTTTAGATCCTTTTGTTAAACTTCCCTGGTCCCATAATAACCAAGGAACTTTTGGACTCCTGTTTCTCACATACTAAGAGACTCACATGGATTTATTTCACAGACTGGCTATATAAATAACCTTGTACCTAAGTGCTCATAATATACCCATAGCAGGGAGCGTCTGATTCTTCTGGCTGGTGAGCCAAGCCATGTTCATGGAGCCTCCACTCCAATCCAGTAATCCTCCCTAGAGAGAAAAACCACGAAGCCTAATGACTGTGGAACAGCCAAGCCCACAGGCTGACCTACTACATTCAACCCCACCTGAGAACTGCTCACCCCACAAATCTGGGAGCTCTCCAGAAGAACTGAATGACACCCTGGGACAGGGATACCTCTCCTCAGTCGCCACAATCCTGCATCATGACACTCTGCAGTGTGGAGGTTCACAGGACACAGGGGGAAGACCCCTACAAGAATACAGCGAGCCGCCCCTCCAAGCTAGAGAGAGGAATGAAGGAAGCTGCAGGCCTCCTGCCACCAGTGCCTGGTGAGAGCGCTCACACGTGACGGACTTAACACAGCTGAGTTCTCGATCCAGCTGAGGTGGATGGTAACCCAGATGTTCTCGCTAACAGTTGGAATTTAAACTCTAACTTCGTTTTTGTTTTTAAGAAATCGGAATGAAGATTTGGGGACCTAAAACATGCCAGGGTGTGCTCACTTTCAGAGAGTTGGTGA